GGTGGGGGGGGAGGGGTGGTGGTGGTTGAGAGCCATCCCTAGAGTCATGCAGAGCGCGTCGGATAAAGGAGGCGCCGAGGGAAAGTCTCTTGGCGCTCCCGAGGGTTTAGCCAATCGGAATAAGCGGCGCACGGCATTTCCTTAACGCGTCTCTTTGCACGGAATCGCGACTGTGCGCGAGCAGCGTAATTTGCAATGCAGATCGCGCGCCCGCTTCTTCCACATAACCTCGCCGCCCCCTCCCAGTCCCTCCTGCCGTCGGAGCCGCCTGATCTGACATCGCCATTTTCGATCCGTTTTAAAACCTCGCCGCCCCGTCTATTTTTATCTTACCTCGGGACCGAGGAGGCTTTTGTATTCTTGGTAAGGGTCGGGAGTACCCTATTTCGATTTTCCATGAAGCGTGAGAGGAGCGATCAGCGATTATGAACGCCGAGGAGGCATCGAGGATCGTAACCTGAATGATAAGTCGCGAAATTGAATTTTATTCGAGAGTCCTCGCGACTCTGGCTCTTATTCATCGTTCGAATGCTGGTGCTCGGGATGTCAAAGAGTCGACTACCCGAAAGAGCGATCCGAAGTCAAATCGTCCTTCGTCCTACATACATTTGCCCCTGGAGCAGGAACATATTTCTCGAAGCTTCACACTTGACGCGCAATTACTCCACCTTTCCCCATTAGAATTTTGCTAATGTCTATAATGTATATAGCTAATGTTTATAGTAGTAAACTTTTGTATTATTTATGGAAGGGAAGCGAGATTAAATGTTTGTAAGAATCTATGCATCATCGTTTGCCCTTTTTTTCTTGTTTTTGAAGTTAAAAATGAATAGTGAGCGAGGGTGAGTGTGATAAGTTAAGCAAGTAAGTCAGTCGGTGTAAAAGAGTCTTGACAATGCAATGTCGAAGACATTCAAAACAGTCTAGTAGTGGAATTATGACGTTAGTGAATTATAAATTGCCGAATGCCAGCATCGACAGTAATTATTATAATATCCTCGGGCAGTAGTAGGAAATGGCGAAGAGCAACGGAATGTGTTTTTGGAAATTCGTTTAGAAATATAGGGGATACGGAAGTAAGTAAGGCTGTCTTACTGTCGGCTGAAAAGAAAGAAAGAAAGAAAAAAATAATACAAAGTCCCTGGCTGCAATTATTCCAAAATGCAATATAATGACACGACGATGGAGCATTAGCCAGGCACAGTTACGAATTCGAAAATTGCGCTTCGCCTCTGCATAGACGCAAAACAAATCTCATTGCTCTATGATTGGCAATTGGGCTGCCTAAGTAAGCACCCGACCACTATAATTAGCTGAATTTCTATATACTCGTGTATTCGTAGCGAATGGCACGTAATGATTTTCGGGGGCGGTTGAGCGTGACGCGACGTAATTGAAAATGCAAAGCAGCGGCGCCGGCAGTGCTGCCGCCTCTCTTTGATCCGTGGATATCTTGCGCGACGCTCGATAACAATGGAGATCAGCTATTGGGGCTTCGCACGCGATTATTTATGATCGGATTTCGATGTCCCCAGCCGTTCTGGTCACGTGCCAAGATTGATGAAGAGTCCGATGAAAGCCACGTAATGCCTCTTATTTTTCCTCCCTATCGGCAAAGGCTAATTTGTTTAACGAGTCGGCGATTAGCCTTAAATGACGCCGGTGAAAATTGCTTAGTCTCAGGCTATTAGATTTTCTATACTCGAATGGCGGCTGTATGATTCTAGGGGCGGGGAGGGTCTCCCCCTTATTCGATGATCTCATTTTTTTCTTTTTTCAGTCACTGATTCCCATGTGTTTTATTAGCAAGGTGCCGGCGTTTTTGAACGTAGTCGACATCGCCGGCCTAGTCAAAGGTGCTGCAGCGGGACAAGGATTGGGCAACGCTTTTCTGTCTCACATAAGTGCCTGCGACGGCATCTTCCATATTTGTCGTGAGTATATCATCAAGCCTTGTGTTTTATTAGAAGCTCCCTGTCAATTAATCCAACTCTGTGTTTAGTACTCAATGGCATTGATTTACTCTATAAGAAGTGATTACGAATAATACGCCCCTGTAAATGGAAACTGAAATTGCCGGTTATTAAACTAATTGTTAAACAATAGATAAAATTTCAATTTATCGGCTGAGTAAAAGTACGCGTGTACACGTAGGCTATCTAATTTTTACTTGTTTCCATTTCTCTTTCATTATTTACATCCTATGATTTTACATTATTTTTGACTTCTTATTAGTCATTTTTATTTCACTTTCTGGACATTTCGTGTGTTATTTACATTTACATACATCTAATTTTCGTCCCCACTGCTTCAATTGCCAATATTGAGTTATAATTATTTTGTCCTAGATAATACGAATTTATTGCGACTATTTTGTAAAATAACTGTCGTTGCTACAATACATTCGGTGTTTCTTCTACGTTCTAGTGCTCGCGATTACAATTGCTCAACTCAATGAATAAAATACTTCTACGTTCTAGTGCTCGCGATTACAATTGCTCAACTCAATGTGGAAAATAAAATTCTGATATTACTATAACATCGAATTCAACATTTATTACTGACGAAAATTATTATTTTGTTGAATGTCAAACGCCATAATGATCTTCGATATCGTATTGGTATCGTTAATGATAAACAATTTTTAATGATAAAAACCTTACGACGTTTCTTAGATCCATATATCCCTTTTGTATTAAATTATTGATTTTTCAGAGATACATTAAGTTCAAGTTATTTTTATTTTCATTCTTTCTAATAATTGTTTTTGCAACTTAAAAATTGCTAATAAATTTTTATAATGCTTTTATATTTGCATTATCGAGAGTTATTATTAAAAAATTTTCTTATCTTTTTTTTCTAAAGTTTCAAAGTAATTACACTTTCTTGTTAATTTGATAAATTTATAATTCCTCTTATATTGATCTATACTACTACTACTTTTGAATTTTCATTTTTATTTGACTTGTCTGTTATTTTTCTTGTTCTTATTTCGTAACTGTAGCATATTGTGTGAATATGGATATTTTAAAATAATATTTTTCAAAAATTTTACTACGAGTTTCTAATACATGATATATTTACTAAAATAGTTCCCAAAACCAATCAGACACATATACATTTTTATTATATTTATATTAAATAATGTATATATATATATATATATATATATATGTATGTGGTATTCAATAACTATTTTTAAATTAATTAAGAAATATACATGTTAGGCATATATATATATATATATATATATATATATATTACACATTGAAAGAATTCTTTAGCCAAATTATATTATTTAAATTTTTTTATATTTCTATCTTTGTATATTATTCCAATATGCATGTTAAGTGTACTTTAAGGTCTATTTTCAAAAACATTCAAAGTCTTAATTTTAAATAATTTCAATATACATCGTAAGTGATGAACATAAATACGTATTGTCTGAATAACAAGTGTGAATAAATATTCTATTTTAACAAGAAATTTTGTTTGTCGGTGGCTATTATCTCTTGCGTTTCACATAATTATGCGAAAGAAATTTCCCGGCAACATGTTACCGATAATCCTAGGAATTGTGGTAACCGTAAAATTTATCGTTATTCACTCATTATTAAAGGATAAGCAAACATATTTCATAATTGTAAATCATGCTTATGCTGAGATAATAGTTGCACTCGGGTTAAAATTTTTCGACAATATGTCGTTATATATTCTACAAGATTCTTTCGATTCATATTAATGTTTGCCATAATATAAAATATCCTAAAAATAGAAGAACCTGTGTGCTTAAGCTCGTAATGATTGAAATAACCCGTAGATAATCGTCTCTAATGCATTACGAGGGTAGTTGTATCTCGTGCAGAAATCAATGAGTGGTTTCAAATTTATAGGGTTACGCATTTGCTTTGAGCCTTGTAATAAGTGATTTGATTTTAATTATTGATGGATCGTATCTAGAGTACAGTAAGTCGTAAATTGCAGATAAATGTGTACAAAGTTAAATAGAATCACTTGTTCCTATGTAGGAGTACCGTACGATGCAGAACAATGGAATAAATTATTCTTCGATTTTTCTTCCTTAATATGCTGTTTCTTTTTTCTTTTTCCTCTTCTTTTATTACATTTTAAGCATTTTTTGTTATATTCAAAATTATTCTATTTCAAATTACATAATATGTGGTTCTCATACTATTATATTATAACTACAATAGCACATTCTATTTATTATACAAAACACTAAATAATTGGATGTTTTTTTGTTTGTAAATGAAAATAGTTAACATAGCTATCACATATTAAATGTATTATATATAAATGGACGTATAAATGTAATTATATAGGAAATACGATGAGTATTATTCGATGAGATCTTAAAGTGAATTTTTAATAAAGGATACGAACTCGGGCAGAGAATGTATTTTCGATAAAAAGGTTTTATATAGTTTCGAAAATAAAATGGTTGATTTTATTGAAGAAAAAGTAAACTTACATTATTGTTGCTTTAATACATCAATTGCTTATCAAAATAAGATAAATAAAACAAACAAACAAACAAACAAACAAAACAACAAGTAATTTAACTTTTCAGGTTATTTAGGGCGGACAAAATTTACTTTCACCGCTTTATAATTATCTCATTTAAACACAAAAGACCCAACAATACATTTAAGTCCAAAGGGACAATTTTTGCAAAAGCATTGGAGATACGTGCAATTTTTCAAATATAAACGCGGAGGAAGCATGTATTTATAGTTTGCGTGTTCTTCATTGGCGCAATTTAAGTTAATCCCTTATTCGACTCTGTATTTCTCTCGATGTTTCTTTAAGTTTCGTCTTTTCTCTTATCCTCTTACCTTTTTTCCATTATGTACTCGATACATTGCACGACATAAATCGCACGATACATCAAAATTGAACATTACCCGACACATCGATAAAGCCACGTGAAATGTCTAAAACAGCATTTAATAGGAATGCGATTAAATTTGCGGTAAGAATCTTTCAAATGCTAAAATATAAGGAGAGATAATTATATTTCGACAGTGCGAACTTTGTTTTATGAAAGAATACTTTTATTATTCAATAATATTTATTTGAAATCAATAACTTACCTAGTAAAGTGGGAAATAGATTTCGGAAAGCATTTTTTATAGCACTATTGTGAAAGATATTTTTTTAACAACCGAGAATCTTTCCTCAGCGGTGCCAAGTAAATTGCCATTTCAAAATTAATAAACATTTATTTTTCAATGCGTGCAGTTCGAACGACGAGCGCGTCAATATCTTCGTACTTCCTTTCTTGTCTCTATGCTCGTCTCTCCTTCCCACCTCCCATTTTCCATTTTCTCGCTCTCTTCCTACCTCTTCCCCGTTCAATGAACCACCATCTCCGACCCTTTGCAAATCCCCTTTGCGGTAATTACCGCAGCCCACCTTCCGCGAGCCCCCAAGTACTCGCGGTCCTTTATTACATCACCGAGGCCTTATTATTAGAACTCTGACGGTACGGACTCCTCTTCAATTTTTCTTCCGCAGCTCGTGCAGGACTCTGTCTCTCTTCAACCCCCCTCGATCTCTTAAGCCACTTTCTCCATCTCTCACCTCGTCTCGCTACCGCGGCATCTCTCCCGATTTAACTCTTTGTTGCTTGTCGCCTTCCTTCTTTTTGGCGGTTGTCCTACCCACCCTTCCCCCTTCGCCCATCGCGGCCATTTGCTGGGCGTCGT